CCATGAGGCTGAAGCTAACGGCATCAGTTACTGCCCTGTCCTGTGTATGTGAATTATATCAGGATATGAACGTAGAACAATTAATTAATTTAAATGGAGCTGCAGCACATTTAAGGAGTGGATGTTGACTTTTAACTTAGTTTTAACTCTTTTATTTCTTTTATTTCTATATTGTTGGTGGACAGTTTATGAAGTCAGTTCACTGCTTGATCAAGAAATTCATAGGCAAGTATTTAGTATGTTTTTTAAAGCAAAAATGGCCGAAATGTGCTTCTACTAGTGTCGCTATTGGGATTCCTTTGCTTTTCTCAGTTTTATGTCGTTGTAAATCGTGTCTCGTCTGTGGTTTGGACTGTTCATTATTCAAAGCAGCTCCGTATTAGCCTGGACCTGGACAACGTGGCCAGTGGGCTCATCAGTGATGTAGCGTGAGCTGATTGGCTGTCAGGCTGAGCCCTGCAGCTCCGTGATGTTGTGAAGTGTGTTGTTCTGGTTTGGTTTTCTGATTCTAGCAGCTTTGTACTTAAAGTTCACTGTTCAGCAGTCGAGCACAACTCTGTCTTCATTATTTCTTGTTAGGCTGCAAATAATCATTATTTTGTAGACTGGGTTTCTAACTGAGAAATAGTAGAACAGGGACATTTACAGCCTTGGTTCCTCCAGATGAATGTTTGACGTTGTTGAGCTTCGTAGGGTTAGCATGCTCTGCTGTAAGCACAGGCAGCTTCATTGCACAACAGTTTGGACAAAACATGGAACAAAGAAATGTTGAATCACTTCATCTTTTAATGCAAGTGTCTCAGATGTGAAGGCAAAGGACTTCCTTCAGGACTAACGCATGATGAGCTTTTTCCTGAAAGACTGTTCACTCATTTGCTGTGCTGGAGTTCCAGAAGCTGCTCTCAGCATCCATTCCTAACCAGGCAACGAGATGTCTGAATATAGATCACAAGTATTGACACCCTTCTCCGGCTCATATTCTTTCCTCGCTCGTACACCGTGTTTGCACTTTGGAAGCTGTTGTGTTGGCGGGCTGACTACGCCCTCGTCACGTCCCTCCAGAGACCAGCAACAAAAAAATGGAAAGAAATGTGAAAGGAGCAAAGTATGAGCTGGTGCATCATTTGTTCTCTTCATGGAACAGACTGGTTCCCTCTGCTGCATACAAACTACAGCACCAGGCCTTGGAAAACACCAACAACTTGCGTTTTCATGCCAGATGATGCATTCCTTGGAGGACTCATGTTAGCGTCATGACAGCTGGACCTCAGATCCAGTGGACATGGATGAGGCAGCACAGCGCCGCCCCCAGCCTCCAAGGGAAATAGAAAGTGAATCCAGAAGCTCGATATGTCAGGCCCTTAAAGTGTCTGATATGTTCTGGAAAGATTCCTGATTTATTCTAGTTTTTCTGGCTTGATGAGAAGCTGATGTGGTTTCTGCTGGTGACGCTGAGTCAGGATCGTTTCATTCAATCAGTCAAGCAGTGACGTTTTTTATCCTCGACTCCGTTTCAAGGTTTCCTTCGTTAACGCAACGTGCTGACTGCTCTTCGTTTTTGCTGCCAAAGCATTCCTGTCTCCGTTGCTCATCACAAAAACGTCACTCATTGCCTGATTTGCGATGGGGAGGATCTCTTTAAGTGGCTCCGGACGCAGCCCTTACACTTTCTGCTTCACTTCCTGGTTTCAATCAATGCACTCATTCATCGAAGCCTTTTTCCTTGGTAGTGATGTTCCTGCTCTCCTTTATGTCCGTGTCATTTCCTAGTGACCCAGCGGTTCTGGCTCTCTTTAATGCTGCATCTTTCAGTTCATTCATTAAAAAGTATGTAAGTATGTAAAAGAACAGTTTATGTACTTCAAAAGGAGGGCGCTGTGAAGACGGTAAAGCTTTAATGCGTGTGATCCATTTCGAGCAAGATGTGATGATCAGTTCACCTTTCACTTAGTAATGCCAGTTTTCTCTCCACGGTCATGAAGTTGCTCCATCTGTCTCTGTCTTGTCATCGTTTACTAAACCCAAACCAACAATGAATTAATCTGGCGAACCGGTGTTCCCTGCGTCGCCGAACCCGTCTGTAGGGTTCGGGTTCTTCGATGTCAAAGAGCTTCATTCCTGGAAACCGTGAACAAGACGTTACGCTGGTCGGAGCAGCGAACTCGTAGGAATCCACGACGGAAATAGTCCCTGACGCAGACACAGAATACGTTTCATGTCTGGTTCGTTGCCTTTGTCAGAAAGTTAAGGAGCACTTCTAAAGTAAAGAACTCACACATTAGCCCCCCATGCTGACTGGTGACCAGAAAAACAGATGTCAATGTGATTTCTGTGTGTCTTTCTCCACAGGTGAAGGAGGAAGGATGATGGACTATAACCCGGATGCCTCAGACCGCAGGGCCACTCTGCCTGGTTCCTATGACCCGGTGGTGGAGCGGGAGCTCCGCGCTCTAGGCTCTCGCCCCCCAGGGTCCCATCTGGACCCCGCAAACCCAGCCAGGCAAGCCCTCGGCGGGGTTCCTACCGAGGGGGCCCCTCCTGTCCGTCACCTGGGTGTGGAACCGCTCATTCGGGCGTCTCACGCTAACCTGGCCCGGCCGGTTCAGGGCTCAGAGGAAAGTGTTTCTGTAGGCAGCGACTACTATGGAAGCATGTTCAGCCTCTACAGAGGGAGAACATTTTCGATGCCGTTATAGCACATGGCTCGTTATTTCCAGGATTCCACCCAAACACAGATAGACTGGCCACAAACCCCAAATTGCAAAGAAAACTGACACATATGGCAAGACCTTCTGTCCTTCATCGTATTCCCTTGATTAGAAAGCTCTTCATTTGTTCTCCTGTTTCATACATTCAAGGTGTTTCTATTTGGTGGCACACTTTCCTTTGACTCTGTCTTCTTGCTGTGGTTTGTTTTCAATCTAATAATGAACGAAATATCGTTCCTAATCTTGTTAATATTTCTTCTAGCTACTAGAGAGGATATCTGCTCGCACATATTATTCAGCACTTCTGGAAACTGTGATTCCTCTTTTTACCGACTGCATGTTTTTTACTTTTGGATTGACACCTTTATAGGTTTGCAGTGGCATGCATGGGTTTCTGGCTTTGATCCGAGCTGATATTAGCATGAATGTTGTCACAGGTTAATGATCATGTTATCCACAGGTTCTTTTGAGGCATGATGTTTTGTATCTGAAGTTAAAGCAGAGGCACTCTGCTGGTGTTTTCTATCCACTCAGTGCTGCAACAAACCTTCAATTTCCAGTTCTGACTGTCTCGAGTTTCTTTTATTTGTTAGATTAAATTCTTAGCAAATGTTACACGCAGGCAAAAATATTTATTTGTCATTTTATTTCACATCATCTGATATGTTGCTCATGAGGTGAGACACAAAGAGCACAAGACAACACAACAGACTAACAAGACAAAATGAACCAAACTGACATTCAGCTCCATCTTTATGACTCCTCCAAAGCCTTCTTCAGCTTCACCAGAGCTCTAAATTCACACCTGCATTTCCCCTCGATCCTCACCCGTCTAGGGCTCAAACTGCTGATGAATCACAGGGGTTCTCGTCCCAGGTCCCTCTGTCCTCCCCCCAACCACCTCTCAGCACACACAAAAACAGCATCAGCACCCAGAAACAAGAACCGGACAAACCCAAACCTTCAGACCCCCGAACCTCGAAAACAGACCAAACATCTAACAGTCTCGTCATGACGCCCAAACTGGCTCGTGCAGGACCCAAGATCTTTGACAAAGTCTGGGCTTTTGAGGAGCGAAGGTCCAGCATGGATCTGCCAGGAAGGGCAGCTGCCTTTGACTCGGACGACAGCATAAAGAAGACAGGAGGCCCCAGCAAAGAGGAGGGCCAAACCCAGCAGGGAGCAGCGCACCGGCGAGCAGCGTTCAAGCAAAGGGCCTCTTCATTAGAGGACAGGACCAGCTACTCGCAGAGGGTCCAGAGCTACCAGAGCAAGTTTGCAGAAGAGCTCCAAAGGATCAAGAAACTTGTGGGGAAACCAAGCTTGAAGAAGGCGTATTCCACTGAGCAGCTGTCGCAGAAAGACAGGCTGAACCCAGGGAAGCTAGAACCCATTCCTCCCCTCGTGGTCAAGAAGCTGGAGGCGAGGGAGCGAGCGCTGGAGGACGGTAGCGCTGGAGACAGAGTCCTGCAGAGTCCTCCACAGGCCCACGGCAAACGTCTGGAGAATCAGAGCAGCAACCCTGAAAAGGACAAGATGACACATTCAGATTCACAGGGGAAACCGGCAGAAAGCTCATCACGACGAAGCACGGGGAAAATCTCTGTTGCCATGGAAACGGCACCAGTTCACCAGTTACCAGGGCAACCATTGCCAACAGCCACAAGGACAAGCTTCATCAGGTTTGAAGATTATCTTTACTGATGGATTTGTGTGTTTTTTAAGAATTACATGGATGACAACTTTGACATTTTGTTAGCTGAGCAGAACTGAGCACAACATGGAGCTGATTTACCTTTACACTCATTCCAGACTTACTGTCAGGCCTCCATGACCGTTTTTCTGCCTTTCCAAACAGGGAAACCCTACAAAGCTCTCAGGCAGCTGAAAAAGACACACTTGATGCCACATCGCACAAATATTCATCCTCCTCCAGAGACCAGGGGACGGCTTCAAGGAGAGGCACCGAGATGGACAACGGAGCAGAACGCAGATCAGCCAGCCCAACAGGAAAGAAAGCATCCCCAGGAACTGTGAGGGAACCAGGGCCCCAGCATCCAGCCAAGCCACCACGGCGCACCCCATCACCCACTCCTTCCATCAGCCCCTTCCTGAAAAGGAGGAAGGCGGAAGCAGGGAGGACATCTCCAGCCTTGAAGATGAACATCCCCGCTATCCTGGTGGAGGATGAGCCCATGGAGACAGAAAGAGTTGCAGACAAGAGCAAGACCAGGAGGAGCAAGAAAAGCAAGAAAGGCCGTTCTACTCAACCCAGGTCTCCAGAGGAAGGTAGGAGAAGTCATTGATAAGTGCAGTAGTTTCCTGTTGCAGTTGCTTGTATGGTCCTAAGCTGCTGGCTCAGAACATGGGTTAGATGCATCAAAGTCAGTGAGAAAGGCCCAGAGTCTCTCAAGACAAGAACATAGAAATCACAGTTTGAATCTTTGTCTTTTTGATGTTCCGACCTCATGCTCCTGACACGTTGGTTGGATTTCAACACAGCGGTGGCCTTAGCTTGCGTGACTCTCCCCTGTTGGCCAGTCCATGTTCTTCTTTTTTATTTTACACCAGCATGTGATAAAAGCTCCCACCTTAATAAAATCCCTTCAAGAATCTTATATGCTACACCCAGGGTTTTCTGAAAAGCAGCGTTTCTCTGACCAGCGCCACAGCGCAGCTGCAGGCTCGCATCATATCACTGCTTCCAACAGGGATGCAGTGGAGTCCTGCAGAAAGCACAGCAGGTCAGGACATGAGATGTTCAACAGGTATAAAGTTACTCTATAAGAATGTAAAGAACAGCATTGTCTATGTCAGCCTCTACTCTGGAGAGAGTGGGACACGATCAGCTACATGGGAGCAGTCACACATGGACAGCTTTCAAACATCTGGTGGCTTTTGTTGTTGTGAAATACTGAAAGTAGTTGGAGTTTTAATAAAGAGCTTCCACATCATAGAAACTAAAGCCTTCATGTGGTTGTCAAAGAAGAAGAAAGGTGGGAGAGAACTTGAAATATTACACACAAGAACACTGAGAAGAACAACGAGGGTGTGTTGTCCACCTTGGAACGCTAATCAGACTCCACAGTTACCGATTCACACGGGGACCCCAAAAAAGCAACTGGCCCAGTGCCTTGCTTTGGGACCTGACCCATTTTTCAAAACCAGGTAACGGAGGGCAGACAGCTCCACATAAACACTTGTCTTGCTTCCAGGGGCTTCGTCTGATGACTCCTACCGGTCTGCTGACGAGGAGCCGGCCGAGGGCCCGAGCTTCGAGCAGCCTCTTCAGGACACCATGGCGCCGAGCGCCTCAGAGGTCACGCTGAAATGTATCATCACTGGCAGCCCATCGCCCACAGGTACAGCTTCAAACCTGAGGAAATGTATTACTATAGTTCAATTTAAACAACCGACCGATCAGATAAAGAAAATGGAAAAACAATCCAGCACCCATCAGCATAGAAACCAACAGATGAAGCAGAGCAGAGAGAGAAAAAAGGAAAAGATTCCAAACGATGACAAATGAACCCAGCGAGCGTGTCTTCAGTCCTTTAGCTCTCATGTGTGCCACAGAGGTTTTAAAGGCTGCCAGGTGCTCTTTGTGGGCTCATTCTTTAAGTTAGTCAATAAATAAAGTTTTCCTTTTTCATCTTAGTTACAAATTAATAAACCCAAAGAAGTTTTACAGAAAAAAACAAGAATCTTAGTGATATAACTTGATGACGAGCAGAATATCACTAAAAAGTGTTTTATAGCACTTTTTTTTTGCTTGTTTGCATTAATACGCTGTGACTGTATGTTTAGCTTTGTATGAAAGGACTGTATTTACTGTCAAACGCTGTCAAGGCAGATTTAACACAGGAGCGTAAATATGGGTTAGGGTTAGGGTTAGGGTTAACCCTAACCCTAACCCTAACCCTTAAATGTTGGTATTTTAATGGAAGGAAAAGAACGAACCTTCTTCATTGCAGATCTTTGGAAAGGTGTATTTTTCTACACACTTCTCACTTCTGTGAGAAGTGTGTGTTGAGTGTGTGTTCTGCCTTCTCAGTGACGTGGAGGAAGAACGGTGTGGAGATACGGAGCGATGCCTTCCATGTGGTCAGAGCTGAGGGCCAGCAGCACAGTCTGCTCATAAAGGAGATGAGGCCGAACAACGCCGGGTCGTACTGCGTCACAGCTGTCAGCGCGGCGGGCAGCGCGTCCTGCAGCGCTGTGCTCTACATCCAGTCAGGTAGGACCCGGCCAGCGACACACCGAGGCTGTGAGAGTGACACATTTACGAGCATGCAGCACAGATAGAAATGAAGGCACATGACAGCGATGCTCTCCTTCAAATGCATGAACATGTTGACTCACACACACTCTCGCTTTAATCCGCTGCCAGTCCTCCTCCGCCTGACATTCTGTCTTAATGACTACAAAGGCCTGCTGGAGCTCAGCATCCCAACCGGGGCTCCTTGCAGCGATAGTTGCCATGACAACCCATTAATTCTTGAAGGCACTGAGCTGCTGTCGGTGTGAATTCACAACGCAGTCCTGCCCCGTCACACAAAGGTCTCCTGAGTCTGAAAGGCAGCCATGACATTCAGAATCAGGAGGAAACAATAAAATGTTCCTTCTGGAGGAGGTTAGTGCTCCAGATGTGCGTGTGTTTATGTTGTGAGGGAAATGCTGGTAGCACCGCTCAGATGTGAGCAGACACTGGTTCTGTCCCACCAGCAGCACCGGGCCTCTGTTGCCATATTAGGCCAGTGGAGTCTAACTTGCAGGAGTATTTTTAGCTGCTCTCTTGTTCTCTTGGGTAATTGCTGTCTGCTTTATGTTCCTGTGTGCGAGTACTGCTGCAATCATGGAGTTTTTCATCAGCCTAGATTTCACGCTGCAGCGCTCGAAGATGGAGATGTCAAAATGTGGTGGGAGATTATGTGAGTCATTTTAGCTGGTTAAGCTGGGAATGGAGAAGATTTTTGGCAGGTGCAAGCTAGAATAGTGGGAGAGATTGATTTGTGGGCTTCAAAGAATATCAGACCTCAATATGGTGCAGGAGCTTCACTCTGTGTGGTTGTGATTTGTGCATAAAATGTCAAACTCTGCCCAGCTATTCATTAGTTTCATAGTACCATCATCCTGTTTGGTATTAAATCACCAAAACTTTCACAAACTCTTCATCAACTATTGTCTGAAATGTTAGAGAGTACATGGCAGTGATGGGACAGAGGATGGAAGTGAACAGTTGTGTAAGAGTTGGCAGGTTTACATGTAAACACTCCACAGAGGGACTCCCTGGTGCACAGGCGCTGCTCCGAGATGTGACTCTAGGTAGGTTCTTCTGTTATTTTCCATTTTAATGCCAGAATATCCACCTCCGTTCCTTCATGAGTTAGCATGAATGATGTTCTCTGCAAAGAGGACAGCTGGAGAGTCCAGTTTATTGATATTGGTCAGATCTTCCATGTATAGCATCAGATGTGTTGGTCTCTGTCGTATTCTGCCTCCAGCTTACAGCAGATGACCCAGTTTCCTTTCTTTTTAGTTCAATGAGTTCATTTAAAAAATCCCGTCCACTCGACTCTGCTGCTCTCTTCTCAGAGGAGGACACGCTTTAGCTCTGCACCACTCATGGATTCGATTCATTTTCAGTCCGTTGTCACAACGTTATCTGCACGTTCCAGATGAGAGTTTTAGGTTTCACAAAGGAACTGAGGAGCTGAGACAGAAAGAAAGCGGCAAATGTAGAAAGAGACAGGGCCAGGGTGGCAGCGCTTTATATTCCTCCGTGCGGCTGTGAATTATTTCTGAGTGCAGGAGAAGCTGCCAGCAGTCCAGACACTGTGTCTGCTCTGCAGCTCCTGGGAGTAAGTGAATGATTGGGTCACGGATTAAGGGATTAATTCATTATCAGTGCAGTTACGGTCACTTCGGAGAGGTCCCTGTGCTCTGTGTGTGTGCGTGCGTGTGCGTGGGCGTGCACGTGGCCCACTCATCTCGAACTCTGCACTCCGTGTTGCTAACATCTCGTCTTGGCAAAGACAGTCATCTGCAGAAAGGCAGGCAGAGACTGTAAACACGGCAGCTCTGACATGCTGCTCTTGTCCAGCAGTTTAACGAGCTACCCTGGTGCACAGTTGACATATATCAATTTAATTACTCAAATTAAAAAGTGTGCTAATCAGAGTCGACTGTCTTCATGAACCCAAATAAAAGGGAATTAGATACAGCAGTTGTTGGCTCATTGTTGTGCTTATGTCCAGTGTCACTTTTCTGTTCCGCACAGAGCCAACCCACCTACAAAGTGGGAAATCAGCCTTTGCCCTGGACGCCAGCAGTCCACTGCAGTCCGATGAGGAGTATCTGAGCCCTCAGGAGGAGGCCATGGAGGTCTCACCTGCTCAGAGCAAAAGGGTCCATTTCAAAGAGCCTCCCTCATTTCAGGTAAGACTATCCGTCCATCCATCCATCCATCCATCCATCCATCCATCCATCCATCCATCCCTACAATGACCATGACCACTGACACCATTGTGGTGGGCTCGTCACCAAAGGTGGAGTGCAGAAGGAGGTCCAACGGCTCACAGAATGGTCAACAGGGTGGCGAGGGTGTCTCCTTAGTCTCCTGATCTTCCTTCGCTGCACATGACTTGCTAACTGTATATTGTACCCAGTCCAGCTCGCTGTCAGTGACTCTGCAGCCACGGAGTCACAAGAAACATGTCTGGGATCAGAGCGCCCCCTGCCATGAGGCCAGAGAACTGCCTGCCTCACCTGGAACCTCTTCTCAGCCGTTTATCATCGCTCAGCACATGAAACACGTTACACACATACAGCTGGCAACAAAAACACTAAACATTGTTATATACATCAGCTGAACTATGGAGCATCAGTTCATATATTAAATGTGTTTGAAACATGTTATTGGTGACATCCAGACGGCAGCACGCCGTCACTGCAGGCAGCCAGCCAGCAGGTAGCGAGGGATTGTGCAATCCAAGGTGAGGCTCAGCTCGCCGCTGCCTCCCCTGACTGCATGTCACTGCCTGCCAGTCATCCAATGCCCTGCTGGGATAATCAGCTGGTCAAAGAAAAAGATGGAAGCCACCAATATGAAGACAAGGAAGCAGCTCCTCGCAGTGTATGAAGGGCTTCATCCCAAGTCCAGCACCTTGAGGTTGGACAAGAAAAAGACTGAGGGTAGCCCAGGACCGGTGAGTCCGCCCCCAAGGACAAGCTGCTGAGTGAATAGCTCAGGCAACAGAGACCCTGTAATGCAGACAAGGAGACCCAACCATCGTGGTGCGACAAGCCCCTCCAGGGCATGTAACAGCACCACATAGAGGAAGTGACTGATACCACCAAGTTCTACCAGTGGCTAGAAAGGCCGAGACTGAAGGACCGCCAGATGCAGATACACACACACACACACACACACACACACATATCTATACATATAAATAAATACATGCAAATGTGGCCAAAATGCGTTTATTTTCCAGATAACAAAATGACAAGCTGCGTAAATAAAAGCTCAGCCAATCTACAGATGTTTTACTTGTTGTTTCTGAGCACAGAAACGTTAAAAAAGTAGATGTTTGCCCTCTGGATGGATCTTTTTGCTTCTCCTCCCTCCATTGCCAGAAAAGGAGGAGCAGGTGACCGACTGCAGCTGGGTTCGGGTTAGAGAAGAGTTCTGGGTTCTGTCCTAAAGCCGTTCCATTTGAAGAATACAAGTTTGGAAGCCAGTGTCACTAGGCAGACAGAAAAAAATCTTAGAGAGTCAAGGGAGCCTTAACCGGACCTCTGGAGCATGTACAGGTGACCGTGTTGTGTGTTGTGTTTACAAGGTGGCGCCGTGTGACCAGCGGGTCGCTGAGGGTCAGGATGTTGTTCTGTTGGCCAGAATCAGAGGGCAGCCCAAACCCATGGTTTCCTGGTAAGACACCTTTTCTCAAAGCTTTGTTGCAGACACACACATCACACCTGCAGCTTTTATCTCAACCAAGGTCGCTCGCTGAGTTCCTGTCACACACACACACCCTGATTAAACACCTGAGTGTCAATGACTGTGACAGCCACTTTACACTGACCCAGGTTGAAGGACAGAGTCACAGTGAGGACGGCAGGGCGCTTCGCTGTGCGAGAGATAGAAGATGACACCAGTGAAATGAGGATCAGCTCGGCTAAGAGGTCAGATGCAGGGCTTTATGTCTGCAAGATCCTCAGTGAGCACGGAGCCCAGCAAGCCGAGTGCCGAGTGGAGGTCAGAGGTGAGTCATGAGCAACACAGTCTGTCCAGTTTCATCACGTTGGAGCAAACAGTTGCTCATGTTTCCTTACTGCTGTTGTTGTATTAGCAGCTGGAGGACAAACGGCGCTGAGAATCACCAGGGAGGTAAAAGATGTGGCAGTGAAGGCCGGAGAGTCGGCCACGTTTGAATGTCACGTTACAGGACCTGCAGATGTGGATGTGGACTGGCTGTCCAATGGGAAGCTCATCCAGCCAGCACTGCTCAACTGCAAGATGCACTTTGACGGGAAGAGGTGGGTTTCTTGTTGTGGTCAGTTTGGCTTAAAGGTGGAGGATGATTGATGTTTAGCTCGTTGGCATATTTAGGTGGCAAGTGCCAGAGTTACTGCCTTCCTCCTTGTGCTGCTCCCTTTATTGTCTAGGTGCCGTCTCATGCTGAACTCGGTCCATGAGGACGACAGTGGGACATACACCTGCAAGCTGAGCACTGCCAAAGGTGAGTCACAAGCACTTCTGTCATGGTTGTTCTTAGCAAATACACATTTATATCTGTTGGTTGTGTTTTCCTGCCACATCCACTTACAGAGGAGCTGACCTCCTGTGCAAACCTGAGGGTCGCTCCATCCCAGGAGCCTCTGTTCACCCGTAAACTGGACGTCTTGGAGGTCATCGAAGGTCGTACTGCCCGTTTTGACTGTAAGGTGAGCGGCTCACCTGCCCCTCGAGTCACATGGATGCATTTTGGTAAGAAATCTCCAGGGGGTGTGGGGGGATTTTCCAAGTCACCAACACCTGCATATTTTTTATCTTTTTCTTTTCACATTAACGTTCTTTCAGAGACACGAGTGGAGGAGAGTGATAATGTTCGCATACTTCAGGAGGGGGGTCGTCACTCACTTGTCATCACCCACGTTAGCAGCGACACAGAAGGCTTTTACACAGCAGTAGCTCAGAACGTTCATGGCAAGTGTGAATGCACTGCTGAGCTCTACATGCAGGAACCCAGAGCTGCCGTCGCCTCTCATATGTAAGAAAAGTCATTGGTGTGAAAAGCAGCATGTCTATTTGCCATTGTGTTATTTTAATGACTTCAAAAGGAGAAAAAGATGAAACGCGCCATTATGGTGTTTGAAGGCAAAGAAAAATGCTTCAGATGGAGTTGATGCATGAGATCAAATGATTGTCGTTTACATTCTCATTTTTCTTTGGTCAATGTCTGGATGTGACTTCCAGGGCGAAGCTGGAAAAGATGCCATCCATCCCTGAAGAGCCTGAAATGTTGGAAAATGAGGTGGAGAAAAGGACCATGCCGGACTTTGTCAAACCTCTGGCTGATGTGGAAGTGATTGAAGGGAAGGAGGCGGTGCTAAAGTGCAAGGTGGCGGGTCTGCCTTACCCAACCATAGCCTGGTACCACAACGGCAAGCGCATCGAGAGCAGCGACGATCGCAAAATGACTCAGTGTAAGCAGAGAGCCTGATAACTAAACAAAGCTAAGCTATTTTGGGGGGAAGGTGATGGACAAGAAACTTGTGTATCTGTTCTCCAGACAGGGATGTCCACAATCTGGTCATTCGGAGCGCTTGTCACGCTCACGGGGGCGTCTACAAGGCTGTCATCTCCAACAAAGCTGGCAAAGCAGCCTGCTATGCTCATCTATATGTCACAGGTAGGAATGAATCCTGACTGTGGGATGCTGGAGTTGTAACAATACAACATTTTCCTTATGTTATGTGTATATATGTGTGTATTTTTAATAGATATTGTTCCAGACCCTCCTGATGGTCCTCCAGTGATTGAGGTTATTACCGGAAAAAATATAAGTTTGAGCTGGAAGCGACCAAAGAGGACTGACCCCACGTTTGGTAGGTTCACTGCTGTAGGCTTGGCTGATGCCACGTTCCTTCTGTGTGACACAGCGACGTGGTTTCTTTAGTGACAAAAAACTTTTTCTGGAATGTTGAGGAAGATTTTATCAAAAGTCGTTCCAATTTAATGTGCTTTAAACACTTGCAGAAAAACCTTTATAGCATGCCTCAGATGTGTGTGTTTCTATGCCACTGTGGATTTCATATCTTCTTGGCATGGGTTTGAAAACAAGACCCAAGTCTTCTCTCTCTGTAGCACCATGTCTTTGACCGTCACCCACATGCAGTGTGTGTGTGTCTGCAGATACCGGCACCTTGCTGTATGTGGTCCAGCAGCAGCCGCTGGGCTCAATCCAGTGGTCCATTGTGGCATCTAACCTGAGGGAGACAAACTACACGGTCACCTCACTGTCCAAGGGAGTCCGTTATGCTTTCAGAGTTCTCACGTCCACTGGAAAGACTCTGAGCAAACCATCGGCCTCCACTGACCTGGTCCAGCTGCTGGACAGAGGCACTGACTGCAGAAAGCTTATGCTGCCACTAGTCCAAACATGTATATAAACTTTAAGATTTCCTGAGTGTCTTTTCCAATCTTTGTAGGACCGTATTTAAGGAAAGCGCCTGTCATTTTGGAGAAACCAGATGTTGTGTATGTGGTTGAGAACCAACCTGCAAGCATCACCATCACACTGAACCATGTGCACGCAGCTGTCACCTGGAAAAGGTCAGTTTCTCTGGCTTTTCTGACAAATTACAAATTTGCATGAAGAGGATATTGCACGACGAGTTGTTGAGTTTGTGCACTTATCAGGAGCTGAACTCATGTGCTTTAAATCCTTGTTTAAAACTGAGACAGTGTGTTAGGGTTAGGGTTAGGGTTCCTCCTGGAAAGAGCAGGAAGTTCAGTACAAACGAGCCTCTCCAGAAGCTCTGCTGGTTTTCATCCTGCTTCTGTTCTCATCAAGGACTGCTCGATAAATTGGGATGGAATGTTTAAACCTCCTTGTCCTTGCTGCTGCAGATAAGCACTGTAGGTCCAGAGGAGCGCCACTGTGCAGTGGCTTACACCACTTTGACTGAAGCTCTGCAATTTCTTGGAGGGAAGTTTTGTTTTCTGTCTGCAGGGTGTTCAAGATTATATTTGGTACATAGCTGTGACTTTTTCATACTAGAGATTTAACCCTGTAAACCCCCAAAACCCGCTGACGGATTTGAAAGAAAAAAGCTGTTGAAGCAGAAAGATGAGATGTGCTGTTCTGCTGAAAAACCTGAACACACTAAAGCTCCTTTATTCTTCATATGGTGTTGAACAGTGTGCCCAACATAAACCCTCTACACTATCCAGATTGTGCTAGAAAGAAAAAGATCTGTAGTCTTTCGTCCAACTGTAAAGCCATGAATGGCTGAGCTGTAACCAACCTGTTCAACTGAAACGCAGCGAGTTGGCGAGTATGGAGAGAAACTCCAGTGTAAGCTGTAAAGTGTCTCCAGTATGTGGAATCTCCATTTCTTTCAGAGCTGGTAACGCCTCCAGAGGTTGGGTTTTCTTCATTTTTGTACTCACAGTGAGCTAAAATGTGACCAGAGTTCAAAGCACACAGAACCTGCTTGAGGTTGAACAGGTTAACTGGTACTTAACAGGAAAAACCCAGAAGTCTTGGTCATGGCTTGTCTGTAGCTGCAACAATCACATGCTGTGTCCGTCTTCCCCAGGAGGGGCGTGCTGTTGCTTAACAGACCGGGGATGTTTGAGATGAGCATGCCAGATGACGACCAACACACCCTGAAGCTGCAGCGAGTCAAGAGCACCGACATCGGTCAGCTACTCGTCACCGCCAGCAACCAGTTTGGCAGCGACCTGTGCACGCTTCAGCTGGCCATGGCAGGTCAGTCCAGGCACAGGCCACGGGACAGATTCAGCTTTTTAGTGAGAATCCAAAGAACTTGCTACTCACTACTGGCAGTGTGTATGGCAGCAAGGACAGCTTATGCTATTTTTGAAGTATCTTGAATTTTAAAGTAAGTTCTCTAGAAATGACTTTTTGAAATGGCAGCCTCCCTTCCTCTGTCGTATTTTCATAAGTTGTTATTTTAACTTCAGAGACTTTAGAGCACAAAAATGTCAGCTTCTCTATTAATGTTGTGTCCAAAAGAAGACAAATTTCAGAATATATATTGTGCTCTGTTGAAGTATTCAACACTGATTCTGATTTTAGTCGGTGACATGAACTCTGCTGATTCTGTTCCGTCGGTACAAACTGCATGACAAGAGCCAGTCTTTTGATTGATGCCGTTCATAATGTTCACTCTACCCACGTATGTTTTGACAGCCTCCAGTGCTGAACATCTTAGAGATGTTTCACATTTTTTACCTCTTCTGCAGTGGCTCCTAAATTTGAAAGCATCATGGAGGATGTGGACGTGCACGTGGGGGAGACGTCCCGTCTGGCTGTTGTGGTTGAAGGAAAGCCAGATCCAGATATTCTCTGGTATAAGGTGTGACGCTCAAAAGTACACAATTTATGGCCCAAACGTAAACACCAGCAACTGAAACTTTATTTTTCAGATCCGATCTGTTGAGCAAGCTCAGTATTCATGGTCGATTGGTCTGTTGCAGGATGACGAGCTTCTCTCTGAGAGCAGCCACTTCACGTTTGTGTATGATGACCCAGAATATTCCCTTGTTGTCCTCAACGCTCATCCTGATCACTCTGGCGTGTACACCTGCACTGCCAAGAACCTGGCCGGCTCGAACTCCTGCAAGGCTGAGCTCACGGTTCACACAGGTCCGACAAAACATCAGCAGCACCACAAACACATGCAGCATGCATTCAGAGCCAGCCGAGTTAAACCGGCCACAGCACTGGCAAAGTCCAGATAAAAGAGAAGCAGTGTCTTTTCATGATGTAACCATAGAAATGTAGGTATGATGAAAATGAAAATAATCCCATTGACTGATGATGGTCAGCGTCTGTCTGAGCTGGTGTCCACTGGATGCTGCTCAGCGTGCCAGTATACACTAGTTGTTGTTGACAATTGCACTTGTAAATCAGCGCCATATGGGCAGGACCACAAGGTGTTTTGAAACTACAATATGAAACCATCTGTCACGATGCTGGCACGCACTTCCAGCCAAACACACACTATGTTGATGCTCCCCGCAGAGCGACAGGAAGCAGCGGAGCCAATGGAGGACGAGGGAACCATTCTGAGGAAGATGAGACGTTTGACAGATTACTATGATGTCCACAAAGAGATCGGGAGGTGAGTGTGTCACTGCGTCCCTTCAGACAGCGATGTTCATGGCTGCTGGAGCTCAGGGTGGAGGGAGGTGGGGCGGCTGCACCTGCTTAACAACAGCAGACAGCAGCGATGGATGAGTCACCAGCCTGAGTGCAGTGAAGGCATCAGCCGACAGATCATCTGTTTTGGTCTGACTTGGTGGGGACGGGTGCTCACTGAGAACTGTAGAGCCACTGGAGCTGAACTCAGATGTGAAATGCAGAATCTGGTTAGTTCCATGAAACATCACAGAAAGGCGCCCGGGAGACTGGAAGGTAGCTATGCAGTGACGGCGTCTTCCCTTCTGTCTCCTCATGATCCTTTCAAAGAGTTCAATCATAAGTTCAAGAGAAAGGGAAGAGCTAGCACCAGTCATTTAGTTCAAGCTGCTGTGGTCTTGATTCTACAAGATAATGCTTGTGCCACTGTTCTTGAACATAGAATAAATACATGTTTAGTTCTGTGTACATTCCCAACAAATGCACCTGAAACATCAACTATGACTTTTACCAAAATACAAAAACAATTCTGTGCTGCCCTTCAGTAATAACGCTTGATTCCTGCTCGATCACAGCCTGCTGTCTATTACCAAAACCATCCAGCAGCCTCAAAGTCCAAACGGGACCAGCAGCAAACAGCATGCGTGGCGGTAACCTGTCCTGTCCTGGCTTTGCAGAGGGGCCTTCTCCTATGTGAAGAGAGTGATGCACAAGAAGGGGAAGCTTGAGTTTGCTGCCAAATTCATTTCTGCTCGACGAAAAAGGAAAGTGTTGGCCCTCAGAGAGATGGATCTGCTGTCTGAGCTGGACAACGAGAGGATTCTCTATTTTCATGATGCTTTTGAGAAGAAGAACATGGTGGTGCTCATCACCGAGCTGTATCCTTCCAGTGCTGTTTCATTTAAAAGATAGGAATAAAAAAAGTTTAATATCAGGATCTGTAATGTACTTTACATAGAGTTTAACTAAGGGAGCAAATGTTCACATTTTTCAGTCCAAAAGGCTCTGGAGTATAGCTTGTCTGCAGCAGTCTTTCAAATTCTATCTGCTTCATTGTCAAGCAAAAGTGCATCCCAAGGACGAGATCCAAGCATTAGTCCTAATGTCTCCTCAGTCCCCTGGAGGCATGAATGAAGCAGTCCAGCTTTTTCTCTCTGACTCATCGCTGCTGAGTGGAATTAGCAAGAGATAGGATGTGTGGGAGTTTTGCTCATTTATAATTCATTTCTCATGCACCTACCACTTGGACGATGCAGTCATGCCGCAGCTCTGTTCTTTTTCCTCAACTGTTGTGTGAAGATGTCATGAGGAGCTGCTGGAAAGAATGGCCAAGAAAACAGCCGTCATGGAGCTGGAGGTCTGTGTGCTTCTGCCGACTGCACTGCGCCGTCATTATGTAACACGACTTTATAGCTCGTTCCCTCGTGTCTCACGTTACAGATCCGCAGCAGTGTTCAGCAGGTTCTGGAGGGTCTTCGTTATCTGCATCAGAAGAGCATTGCTCACCTCGATATAAAGGTATCCGTCCATCAGCGCCACACCACTGTATGTAAAGGACATCCTGTACGTTGTAGCTCACGCTGTTGTTCTTGTTCACACCTCCTCTAGCCAGAAAATATTTTAATGGCAAGTCCAGGGAGTGATCACATTCGTATTTGTGACTTTGGAAACGCCATTAAGCTGGAGGCTTCAGAGGAGCACTACAGCAAGTACGGCACGCCAGAATATGTCGCACCAGAGATTGTTAACCAAACTCCCGTCTCCACGAAAACAGACATATGGTGAGCCACCTGTTCTCCTGCATGGACGCCTGGTGACACAGTGCAGGCTCTGCTATCTGCAGCAGATCACCTCTCTGCCTTTTATCTGCTTTTCTGATGTTTCTGAAACTCACTCATCTGTCTCACTCCCCCATAGGCCGGTTGGAGTCATCACGTATCTCTGGTACGTTAGTGGCTTTGTTCAGTCACAGAACAAGAACAGAAACTTTTCTCAAAACAAAAAGAATCTGCTGTCTTTTACTTCTATTGTTTCTGCTTCTGTGTTTCATGTAGCCTGACTGGCGTGTCTCCGTTTGCTGGTGAGAATGACAGAGCGACTGCCCTGAACATCCGCAACTACAACGTGGCGTTTGAGGAGAGCATGTTTTCTGACCTCTGCAAAGAAGCAAAGGGATTCGTCATCAAGCTTCTGGTGGTGGACAGACTGTAAGCATCCTCATGACTGTCCACTGTTCCCCAGAAACATACAGGATGTGCACACATTTAGTTTGAGGAACCCAGTTTAACTCTCTGCAGCCAGAACAGCTTCTGGGTGGTTTTTTATTTGTTCTAGCCACGTTTTCTCACCGGTGGCTCGTTTTTTGCTGCCGTATAAAGTCCTGCACGTCCATGGAAACGGAACAACCATGACGACAGAGAGCGAGCTGTCTGTTCTGCAGCATGCCACAGATTTGATGCCACAAGTTATGAAAAGAAAACCAAAGTTTAATTTATTTGATTGTTTATACAGAAACTGAACAAGCCAGTAATCCTGTGCAGTGATTTTCCAGGTGCCTTCAGGTGTTTCCAACACTGGAAAAACGTTGTTGCTTTACTCCCTGCATTCTTGGTTTGTTTCCGTCCTCGTCTGCTGTCTGCTCGCTGTAAACACTGCTTGTAGCTCAGTCGAAAAGACCGAGGAGCTTTGGATCTTTGCTTAAGTTATATTTATGTATAAAATAATCTGGTTCGTGTTTTATTTGAGAAATGGAGCATGCAGTGATGTAAGAGCACAATTTTAAGCTTAGATTTTGATCATTTTGTCAGTGGAACAAAATATCAAGGAAAGATTAAAAATGCTGTTAGTGGTGTCATTTTGGTGTTTTCATTGTTTCAAAACAGCTTCCCTTTCAGGTTTTGTGGTTCTGTGGATTAAGTGTGTCTAAAGTGTCACATGTTCCTCCTCCTGATGCTTGTTCTTCCTCCTCTAGGAGGCCCAGTGCCACTGAATGCCTCCGGCATCCTTGGTTCAAGGTGAGCTATTAGCTAGAAAGTCGACCGTCCCATCTCAGACTTTCATTGTGCCACAGGATTTATTTATGTCTCCACTGAGGTTACTGATGACTCCCCTCTCTTTGTCTTGCAGTCACCAACAAATAAGAGCATCAACACAGCCATGCTGAAGCAAGTTTTGTCTAGAAGACGATGGCAGGTAAGGCATGGGGATGGCAGCCTGGCTAACATGCATTGAGTATGTGGAAATCAGAGACACAAAAGTGAGCGGTGAAGCTCAGTCTATAGCCTTTTATATCAGAATAACTGGGACATGGTGGAGAACAGTCATATTTTCATAAAAAGATTTCATAAAGGAAGAGTAGCTAGAGTCCAAGATTACTTTAAGCCCTAAACCACGTCGTCCTTACTCACTCAGACCTCCTCACAATTGAAAAAAATGCCTCAGTGTGATAGCAGGGGGAAAGGTGTTATTCATTTATAATTTCCTATTGCTGTAGAATAATTTTCTTGGCAAAGAAAGGTCCATACGTGAAGCAAGGAGCAGAGCTGGCTCACATAACGCTGTACAGTTTCACCATTGCTGCTCTTTTCGGTTAAATTTGACTTAGATTTGAGACCTTGCAAAAAAAAAGGGAAATTAAATAATCTGACATTGTCCTCTGCTTGCTTTTTGCAGCGTTCCCTTATCAACTACAAATCGAAGATGGTTATGCGATCAGTCCCAGAGCTCCTGAATGACTCATGCAGCCATGTCTCCATTGCTGTGGCCCGGCATTTAAAACAGGGCTCCCCTCCACCCTCCTCTTCCTCAGACTCAGATGCAGATGTGGATGAGCTTCCCTTTATTCCTATGCCGCTGTCCATGGTCTTTTCAGGCTCCAGGGTCTCCCTTAACGAGATCCCAGGGGATGAGGATGTCAGTGGATGGTGCACCGATAAGACGAGGAAAAGGAACGACGTGGATGTCGTAGGTACTAGAGGAGGGGCTGGTAAAAGGCTGACAGATGAAGAAAAAACCCCAAATGAGGAGAAAATGAAGAAGACTAAACGAGCTCCCCTTAAAAAAGGATCAAGTGTGGAGTCGGATGAATTGCAGACCAAAGCCAGACGGGCTACCATGAGGAGAGGCAGCTCTGCTGACTCCGCACTGCTTCTCCACATTGACCCAGAAGAGGGGAATGCAGATGAGGATTCAGAGGCAAATAACAAGAGCCTGAAAAAGGCTGTTTCCATGGAACTACCGAATCGCAGCCCGAGCCCTGGGGCTGCAAAGTTAAGCCAGGAGGATTATGCCCTAAAACTGGAACTGATGAGACAGCGGCTGCTCAGGGGAGGCAACATCGACAAAAAGATGAGCGGCCTGCGAGGGCCCTTGTTTGAAACGCTTGGCATGGAAGATGAGCGGCAGACGGGGTCTCTTGATCGTAACCTGAGGAGATCCAGAGCGGGGCCATCAACACTCACCAGAGCAGCATCTTCTGACAGTCCCGGAGAGGACACAGCAAAGACGAGAGTATTTCAAAAAAGCGCTTCCTTTACTCAGGGGGACTCGGAGCCCATGCCCCTGCACCGCAGGTTTGGAGCCCCCTTAGAGATTCCCTCTTTGGGCAATGGTAGCATAGACGGTAAGAAGCTCCAAGAGGCAACCTCAATGTCTGCACTAACAGAACAGACAACACTGGAGTCTTCAGAGAGGAATTCTTTTGTGTTCCCAGCATCAGGAAGACCAGAGCACCAGCAGAAACAGAACAATGTGAAAGAAGGTGAGGACGTAACAGAGAAAAGGACCACACCCCAGTTAGAGAAGACAGATAAGGCAGAATGCGACTCACCCTCAGTTATTACTCCTATCATTGTAATAGAGGAGGAAGATGATGAGGAAGACAGAAGCAGAGAGCAGGTGCTGCATATTAATGAAATGGAAACTAAAGGAAATGAGAAAACCCCACAGAATAGGAAGCCATCACCTGACAAAGATCCTACAGTCAAGACAGACGACACAAAGTCCACAGATGCATGTCCCTTACCTGAACATCCAGCAGTGTTTGCCAGAGTAGCACCTGCTGACAGATCTCCTGTCGCCGTTTCCTCCACATCAAACCCTGATCTTCCGGCTGTCCTTCGGCAGCCGCTGCTCAGGACGGACATCAAAGACATCGACTCAGAGGAGGTGTTTGAAGCGAGGTTTAAGAAGCGGGAGTCCTCTTTGACCCGTGGCCTCCGAAAACTGACCAGAAACAAATCAGAGGAGAAATCCCCTGTATTAAGCCGCAAGGTGGTTGAGGGGAGTGAAGAGGTTTATAGGCCGGGGCCAAGAGGGGCTCCTCTGGAAATGGTATCCAAAGGACTACAGGAGAAATCCAAATCTGTTCAAGATCTAAGAGGAGAAGATCAGGAAACAGGACTGGGTCTAATTGGGAGGTTGTCCTTACGGGCAAAAAGGTCAACATCCACTGAGAAGAAGGGTGAGAAACCAAAAGAGGAAAAGCAACAAAATGTGCAGGAAAGTGCAGCAAACAAGAGGGTTTCGTGGGCTATTGGTCGCAGCAAATCCCTGGATACGAAGGAGCTGAACAGGGCACAGAGGCAGCTCGATGAGAGGGAGCAAAGGAAAGCAGAGGAGTCATCGGTTTCTGCTATGAGGCGCAAGTTTGAGTCCAAAGTGGCAGGAATCTCTGCCAAAATAAGGACTCAGTCAGAGGAGAGGAAGGATAAAGACACCGGGGGGAGTCAGAAAGAGCTGCTTCAAAAGGATGTGAATAAGGTCACAGACTCTCCTGTCCTGGCAATGCGACAGAAGTTTGAGAACCAAGTGGCAGGAATCTCCATGAAACTCCGTAGTCAGTCTGAGGAGAGGAAAGGAGATGACGAGGGAAAAAGCACGCCACCTTTTACTCGCCACCGTCATTGCCAATCGGAGGGCCGTGGACTCAAAGGAATGGGCATCCCTGAGAACCAGCTGGCAAAGCAGACCTGCGGTGCAGCGTCCAAGGAATCAGTCGAGTCCACATCAAGCATTCAGTCCGAAAAAGCCTCGGAGAGTGACAGGCGGTCTCGGTGGGACAGGTGGGGTTTGACCAGGAGCAAGAAAGACAAAACTCCTTCCCAGTCCGATTTGCCCTCAGCCGTCCCCAAAGAGGAAGGTTTAACAAAAAGCCAGCAGTTTATCCGCTCGGCCTCAGACTTCGCTCCGGTGTTCCACATCAAACTGAAAGACCACGTCTTATTGGAGGGCGAGCCTGTCACTCTCAGCTGCCTGCCAGCCGGCAGTCCACATCCAGAGATTACATGGATGAAAGGTGACTTCAGTGCTAACAGTGACAGGATTGTAAGAGACGCCGACATCCAACACCGCTGCTAATTTGCTAATATTTGTTTGTTTCAGATCGGAAAGCGCTGGAGGTGGATGACAGAATGAGCCTGATCTCCCACCCGGACGGCAGACAGCTTCTTATGATCGTGAAGTCCAGCCACAGGGATGCTGGCGTTTATGAATGTGTAGCTACCAACGCCATAGCTAGCATCACCACCACCTGCACACTCACCATAGCTTGTAAGCAGTGTGTTTGACCCACAGCGTCTTAGATGCTGTTTAGTAGTAAATCCGCTGCCTGACAGAACAGAGACAATGCAAAGGGGGATTTAAACTCTGATTCATTTATGTTGGTGTGGCAAATTCCAGCATGGAGGAAGCTCTCGCAACAGCAGAGCGACTGTTCTTTCATAATGTGATTTATTTCACATTATTGAGTTTTAATTGCAGTGAGAATGGGATAAATATTAATACAACTCATGAATATTAATGCGACTTCACAGAAGATTAACTTAATGGATTTTGGGCTTTTCTCACATTCATCATCTAATAAGAACAAATGCTGTTTGCTGTAGTTTTGTAGCGGATGATTGAAATCAGCTGTGTCGAGCATCAAGGCATGCGTGTGCACAATGAGTGTGTAACGTGAGCAGCAGTGTCTCTGTTCACCAATACAGCAACAATGAGATCTCTGTCGATAATACAGTTCTCAGATGTCAGCTGCAGTCGGTTGCATTTGGACTATTTGGACGTGTAGTATGACTTAATCTCAGACGCTAATGCCAGCTACGGTCACATGATGTTTCAGCAGTGTGGAAAATACTGCAGACAGCTTGTCTCTCCTTGGACTGTGTCAACGTGAGCTTTACAGGAAATGACCTGTGAAGCTGGTGAACAGCACAACTTGCACCACATGTGGTTTGGTTTAAGGGAAAAACTCCGGCCAGGATGTGGGTGATTTTATACCCAGGGTTCTCCTTTACATATATGATCTGGCACGTGTTGCTGCAGAAGAACTATCGTGTGAAGTCCACCGAAATGATGATGTTCTGAACACACAGTGACAGTCGATATCTGGGAGAGGAGAGAAACAACAGCAAAAGCACAGCATAACTCCAAAACAATATTAGATTAGAAATTACAAAGACACACAAAAGAAAGTGAGCACAGTTAAACAGAGAAACTTCCCATGAGTGTTTGCAGCTGAGGACTCTGAGTCACACAGGCTGGTTGGTGGACGGCTTCTTCTGGTAAATTATACATGAGTTGTGTTTTATATAGCGGTTTTGATTAAATGTCCTGATTTTAGGCTTGAATTAGGAACATTTTTGCACATCACAGATACGTAGCTCATCACTTTTTTCTGCGATTATATTTTCTGGCTCGATGGCAGACCTTTCAAGCTTTCAAAGCTAATTTTGATGCACAGAGTTGAGTTTTAAGGAGTTTATCAGAGACTCTGATATGCAGCAGCACCTTTTATAGAGGTTTGAAAACCACACAGTTCAGTCATGCTCACACACACTGATGTAAAGTTAGCCACACATGCTAGTGACACCAAAACTGCAAAACTTCTTGTAGTCACACTTCTGTAGTCAAACAGCAAACCTGTAGAAGCACATACACAGCACAGGTGAAAGCCACAGGACCATCTTGATTTGCTAGGGTTTGCAGTGTCCGCAGTGTCCTCTGCTGGCCATCAGTAGAAGCTGCTGTGGTTTTGATTGGCTTCTCCTCTTCAGCACATCCTTACTTGATTAGTTATTGTCTCTCATCCTCCTCCAGGTGTTCCGAAACGACCAGGGACCCCTGAAGTTCCTCAGACTTATAACAACACAGCGCTGGTGCTGTGGAAGCCGGCAGACACCCAATCCCCCTGTAGTTACTCTCTGGAAAGAAAAACAGAAGGTGAGTGAGTGCCAATATTATCTTTCAATCATTATCTGTTTTTCAACTGGACTCCCTGCGTGTGCTGTTGTAACTAGAATGTCCCACATGAGATGAAAGCAAAACTAAGATCTCAGTCTCTGAGGAGGTAACAGTGTTTGAACAGCTCAGGCAGAGTGAGGCGTCGTAGTGCCTGCAGAGAAAGCTCCGGGGAAATAAGCCTCCAAATCCATAGACACCACTTAGACGGAGAACGAGTCGGCCCACGAGGGAGAAGCTGCAGAACCAGAGCGTTTTGTCATTATGCTCCATGAATCATCAGGATCTTATGATGTGCTGGAAGGAAATGAACTCACACAAACTTGGAATTTGTGAGTGATTGTTGAACTTTGTGGTGTGACAGATTTCATTCTGGCCTTGTCGCCGTCACTCCCAATGCATTTATTGTTTTTATGCAGGTACTCACAGAACGCTGTCACCACCGGATTCACATCTAGTTGGTGTTTGCTTCACTGTACCTGCATAAAAAATAAATACTGTGACTGATTATTTTCTAGCAGGCCAACCAAAGATGATTTGGTATCACTGTGCATGAACTTCCCAACACTGCCACCTGGTGGTCAACAGCTGAACTGTAGCCAGGTGTCTGTCATTGTAATCCTCAAAACCTGAAACATGGTTGGCCTCAGTCATAGTGCTGGCAGACTACCTGGACTTGTAGAGTCTGGGTGGTCGGGGCAGACTCCGGCTCTTCTGGACACTGGGAGGGTGACAGCTACAGGGAAGCAGCAGAGAACCTGGTAGACTGCAGCTCTGCTTCCTGCCATCTCCAGAAACATTTCCAGTTATTTGTGAAGCCCAATGTGTTGTCAAACCTGGGTTAGATTTATTATTGCTGAGTCTGACCTGTTCTGTCTTCATCACAGCTATGAGCATGGACCTTTGTAACTCGTAAGACTGCTGTCAAGGCTTTTCTGGAAATGTGACCAAGGTGCTTATTCAGACACGAAGCCAACACATTCAGCTGCTGTGAGGTTATTTGAGAGGAGTGCATGTTTGTCAGGTTCTTAAGGGGACAAAAGAGACAGCTGAAGTCTATTTATAAGCTTGTTTTGATTTTTTCTTCTCCAAGAATCCTTGATCTAGTTTTCAGTGTGAATGTAAAATCTAAACATGTGGGATTGATATCTGACTCCTTGGTCTATCCTAGAGCTTGCTGCAGCACCAGATAAAACTCACTCAGTTTGCTCTCTGTCCTGCAGGTGACTCGAACTGGTTAACCGTGGCCACCGGAGTGGTCGACTGCTACTACAATGTCACAGACCTGCCAGCAGGGGGCAGTTTCAGGTTCAGAGTCTGTTGCGTGAACAAGGCTGGTCAGGGGCCCTACAGCAGCTGTTCTGCTGCAGTCAGCCTGGACTCAGCAGGTAACAGAGTTCATTAAGGCAATAAAAAGTGATCACATGAACATCCCGTACTGACATCAGGCAGTCCTGCTCACTGAGCTGCAGGACTGTCTGCTCTGGATGACAACGGATGTACACTGAACAAAAATACAAACGCAGCACTTTTGTTTTTGCTCCCATTTTTCATGAGCCATACTCAAAGATCTGAGACTTTTTCAGAAAACCAGTCAGCATCTGGAGTGACCACCATTTGCCTCAGAGCTGATCAGGTTGTTGGAACACTGGTCCACTCCTCTTCAATGGGCCAAGTTGCTGGATACTGGCAGGAAGTGGACCACGCTGTCGTATACGCCGATCCAGAGCGTCCCAGACATGTTCAGTGGGTTACCTGTCCGGTGAGTACGCTGGCCATGCAAGAGCTGGGATGTTTTCAGCTTCCAGGACTTGTGTCCAGATCCTTGGGCCGTGCATTGTCCTGCTGCCACATGAGCTGATGGCCGTGGATGAACGACACAACGACGGGCCTCAGGATCTCGTCACCGTATCTCTGTGCATTGCCATCAATAAAATGCAGCTGTGTTGGTTGTCCATAACATACGTCTGCCCAGACCGTAACCCCACCGCCACCATGGGCCGCTCCATTCACAACGCTGACATCAGCAAACCGCTCAGCCATCGGGTGGCGCTCAAGTCGGTCACGACGATGAACTACAGTGAGGTGGAGACCCCAATCTGATCAGCCACACCTGTGAGATGGATGGATTGTCTCGGCAGAGGAGAAGTGGTCACCAGCACAGATTTAGACACGTTTGTGAACAATATTTGAGAGAAATGAGCCTTTTGTGAACATAGAAAAAGTCTCAGATCTTTGAGTTCAGCTCATGGAAAATGGGAGTGAGAACAAAAGTGTTGCGTCTGTATTTTCATTCAGTGCATGTTGAAGGACATAACTAAGATACAAGGACACATGAACAGTGTGGCACAAAGTCAGAGAACAGTTTAAACAAATCGAAAACAAAAGCTATCTTCTGTTGATAAAGTCCTGAGTGAGTCCTGGATTTATTTCATTGGTTGCTCTGTTTCAGATGTCGGAGCTTCACCTGCCATCGCCGTCGTAAAGACAGTCCCTCCTGTACCAGTAGTGACCTCCTCAGTGACTGTCCCTCCACTCAGACCAGTCCAGAGCAATCCTCCCAGAACAACCGTCTCCATCATCACCTCCACCTCCACTGCAGTCTCTCCATCCTCTCTGCCCTCCAGCTCTCCACCAAACCCTCCATCTGAGGGCACAACAACTGAGGAAGCTCAAAAAATAAGCTCCACTCTTCCTTCTTTGCCTACAGTCAAAGCACCGCCACCCTTTGTCCTCCCCAAACCACAGAGTCCAGTAAATGTGGTGACCCCCATGACCCAGACCCCACCCATATCACCCCCACCTGTTCTTGTAACCCCACCTTCAACTCCCACAAAGCCAGTTGTGGCCTCGGTGCCCACGTACGTCCCCGCATCCACTGCCACTGCTCGGATAGCCCCCTCTCCTGTGTCCTTCTCCCCACCAGTCCTGCAGATCTCAAGCCTGAGCCCCATTGGTGAAGGAGCCAGTACACCCAGCAGAGGAACGCCGTCAGGACGAACCACACCCTCGACTGCTCTACGACAAGGCGTTCCTCAGAAGCCATACACTTTCCTCGATGAGAAAGCCAGGCGAGACAGATGCTGCCTTTTCAGTAGAGACGTAGAAAAAGGAATCGTTAGAATAACTTGTAGTCATAGTTTATGTGTCTTTTTTTCAGGGGCCGGTTTGGAGTTATTCGAGAATGCAGAGAGAACGCAACGGGTAAAATCTACATGGCAAAGATCATTCCCTACAACCAGGAAAACAAGCAGGACATCCTGAAGGAGTACGAGCTCCTGAAATCCCTTCACAATGAAAGAGTCATGGCTCTGCACGAAGCCTACGTGACGCCGCGCTACCTGGTGCTGGTCGCAGAGTACTGCACCGGCAAAGAGCTGCTTTACAGCCTCATAGACAGGTAGGATGCTGGGAACGTCACTTCACACTGACTGACAGCAGTGGTCTGCAAACGTTTACTGTACAATGTGTTTGGTGAGTGGAACCACCAAGAATCATTTATAATCAGGCTCACCGTAGCACTCTCCCTGTAGGCTGTAAACCATCATAACTGTTAGTTCAGCTGCTGTTAGAAAACTCTGGTTCAGTAGAAAAGTGAAAGGATTTAAAAGTCATGATCATTCTAAAGCATCACAGAAGAAAAGGTCAACAGATTGTTGACAGAAACGAGAACATGATCAATAATAATAATAATATAATAATAATGTATTGCAGAGAAAATTGAGCCACAGTGAGTGAACACCAGCCAGAAACCAGTTGGGCTCTAGTTAGTATTTATTTACTCAGGGATTGTTTCCAACTAAGTCCTGCTCATACTTTGCAAGTCACATGATTTGACGATTTAAAAACCTTCTTTTCACTCGCTAAAGGTTCCGTTACTCTGAGGATGACGTGGTGGGTTACCTGGTCCAGATCCTCCAGGGAGTCGAGTACCTCCACACCCGTCGGGTCCTCCACCTGGACCTCAATCCCGACAACATCATGGTGACGAACCTCAATGCCATTAAGATTGTGGATTTTGGGAGTGCTCAGAGCTTCAACCCTCTGAACCTCAAACACCAGGACTCAGGAGCAGGAACGCTGGAGTACATGGGTGAGGAGAAGCACCAGAGTGACTCATGGGACTTCTTTGGAGTCTTGTCAAGTTGTGAATTTGTCTCTAAGCTTGAAGCAAACCGAGGCCTATATTACAGCAGCAACCTTTAATTTCTCCAACTTTTCCTTCTCTTGATGAATGTGGCTGCAGCTCCTGAAATGGTGAAAGGTGACGTGGTTGGTCCTCCTGCAGATATCTGGACTGTTGGTGTTGTCACCTACATCATGTAAGTTTCTTAGAATCCACTTCATTTCTCCTCATTTCATGTCAATTTGAGGACCTCTACCCTCAAGATGCTGAATGCATATGAAGAACAAATGATTTTATAATATTCATTTTTCTGTCGTTATTCAGGCTCAGTGGTCGACTGCCCTTTGAAGATAAAGACCCTCAACATGTTGAATCCAAAATCCTGATGGCCAAGTTTGAACCAACAAAACTGTACTCAAATGTGTCCCAAAGTGCCTCCGCCTTTCTCAAGAAGATGCTGAGCAGCTACCCATGGTGACTGTTGGCCAGATTAAACAAACTTTAACCAAGAACAAATAACGTGAAACGCTAAATTCTGCATATGTGTGTTTTCAGGGCCCGTCCGACTACACGAGACTGCTTTACGCAGGCCTGGCTGCAGGACTCCTACCTAATGAAGCTGAGGAGACAGACTCTCACCTTCAACTCCAGCCGACTCAAGGAGTTCCTGGTGGAGCAGCAATGCCGTCGCACAGAGAGCGCCACCAAGCACAAGGTGCTGCTGCGAACCTACCAGAGCTCAGCTCAGTCCCCAGCGTCCGGCACGGCGCCGCATGTTCCCAGCCCCAAGTGAGACGACAGGGAACCGGCAGCGCCGGACAGAAGACAGCGCCCCAATAGCTCCTGTGTGAACCACTGCTGCATGACAAATGTCAGCCTGCCCAGCCAGGCGAGCTCAGAGGGGACAGGCAGACAGCTGGATATGGCAGAAACACACAGGAGTCCATACGCTGTTCTGGAGTAATTCAAGATTCAGTACCAGTGGGATTCTGAGAAGAAACAAAAATCCAGTCCCAGGGAAGCAGTGATGTGTTCATTGAATTTGTGACGTGGGGAACTGCTCACGAACTGGCCATCCAATGAAAGGACACAGGATGTTCTTTGGTTTCCTTTGATTGCACAATTTCTCAGTCATGTTGTGAATTCTGAAATTGCACATTCATATATTTAATTGAGATAAACTTTGGTCTTCACTCTGCACGATCAGCCTGGAACATGTGCGTCATTAGTTCTTGTTTATGCCACTAAATCTAGTAAACAACTCATGTGAATGTACCATGAATTAAGCTGCTAACTTGTTTTTGCATTTAGTCACATTTTAAAACTCAAAACCAAAAATATCTCTTTTTTTTCTCCTTTGGAATTGTTTACTTTTTTCATGTTAATTTATTTGCATGTGTGTGTGCGTGTGTGCACGAGCATTTTTGATTCACTCTTCAAATTAGCATCAAAGCAAAAAAAAAAGATCTAATAAACACAAGGAGCATCTTTGTGATTGGTGTTCAGAGTCACAGAGAAAATGACCTGTTTTAGGCTGAGCTAGGACTTTGTAGTACAACTTCTTGTTATGTGGTTAACTCTTAACTGTAACGCAACTATGACGAGCAGTTGTAATGTAGATAACGTTCTAATCTGAAAAGTCACCACACGCTGGTCGATTGTCAGTATTACCCAGCGGCTGGTCAGGCGGCTCCTGATCAGCCAGTCAGTGCCTGAATCGGATTATTATCCAAAATGTTAATCCTGTAAATGTGTCTCTACTGGTTCTAATTCACAACCAATGAATTATCTGAATAAAGCAAACATGAATGACAACGTTTGGACTTTGCAGCAGCAGACAGACGCATACAGGTGTAACATGCGTGTTTCTACATGCAGTCCTTGTAATAATAAACGTCTTGTGTTTTGCTCTATCAGTGTTACTTTTGTATGACTTTGGACGGTTGACGATTTGTAAATGTACCAATTTGCGGTGTTTATAAGTGGAATATGTTTTTATGACATAGTATGTAATAAACTATTGATACAATTGGGAATATGAGCCTGATTTTTATGACCCTAAACCAGGTGATGTTCTCGGCTCCACGTCCTGGAGCGCTGTGATTGTGTTTGTTAGAGGGAGCTGCTGGACTTCTCCGCCGGCTGATGATCTCCTGGGAACGAGAACATTTTAGAACAACTGCTATGGCTGAAGCAGGGCCTTCAAACTGTTGAGTGTTTACTTCCTTACCTTGTTTGCTCACTAATGGCGGAACAATGCCAGCTAAACACAGGTGGCAACACATACCAGCCTGAACGTGTGAGTCTGGGCCAGTTAGCCAAAACACGCAGTTGTGACCATTTTATGATGGAAACAAGTGTTCTGTGTCACACATACAAATATATGTTTTATTGGATAATTGACGAAGTGGCATTGGACAAAGTGAGATGGATAAACATAAGACTAGTTTACACACATGTTCCTCAAAGCTCCGAACTCGTGTATTTTATTCAGGGCTGGGACTTTAACACGGGGCTGCGCAGTCACTTGAAGGTTAGCTCCGTCGCCTCACAGCCAGAAGATCCCCGGTGAGGACACCCGGGATCTTTCTGCGTGGAGTCTCCATGTTCTCCCTGTGCAGCGTGGGTTCTCTCCGGGTTCTCCGGGTTCTCCGGCTTCCTCTTCCTTTCTGGAGCTTCATGTCTCTGATGTGTAGTTTCTGGCCTCACTGACCCCCAAAATATTTATTGTTCTGTTCTATTGCTGCGCTCCGTCCACTGTCCTGCTATCCCACCCCATCGCCCCCACTCCCACCCAACCGGTGGAGGCAGATGGCCTCCTTCCCTGAGCCTGGTTCTGTCTGAGGTTTGTTTGGTTCCTTCCCATCCTTGCTCAGAGGGAGTCCAAAGGCTGCTCTGGATTGTTGGGTTCTCTGTTTAAACTCTGTACCTGGCTATGTTGAGGCTGTGAGATGACGTCTGTTGTGAACTGCGCTATACAAGTAAAACTGAATTGAACTGAATTGAATTCAGTAGTTGCAAAATAATAGGATACTGTGTAAGTACCAGACGATCGTGAAAATAAAGATAAGTAAGCTAAAATAGGACCAGAGTTGGACATTGATCACGTGATAAAGAAACATTGCAAATGAAACTGAAATGATTGTAAAATATTGCACCTGAACAATCCAATAAGGCACTTCACATGGACAAGTTTGCCATTAACATTGATGAAATGATACTGAAACTGATATTGCACTCACTGCTGACAAGGCTAGGGTCCAGTGGACCTGATGGTGCTGTTCCTGTGTTCCATCTGGATGAGCTGTGCAGTCAGACAGCCACTGGGACAGCCATGCACGAACCCTACCCCTACAGCATCTTGCTATCAGGTGTGGGATCAGGCTGAACTGTCTGTCTCCTTACCTGCACCGACCAGGTGAGCAGAGGCTCCCTGAGCTTGGTCAGCTTTATTTGTACATGAAATAAGATTGCAGGATTGTGAGCTTAATATTCAGAGGATTGCTTATCGCTCAACACTTTGGCTCCAGGGTGTTAGTTCAGTCATGCTAATGCCATTTAATGTCGGTACCGTGGATGAGTAACGGACACGTTGGAGCGGATCAGACGCGGACGGCACTTCTGCGACGCTCCCTGGCTCTCGGCAGTTTCAAGGGAGCCCGAACTGGGCGTTTCTTTGCGGCGACTCTTTCAAAAAACATGTAAAAAAGAAGTTTTGCTCTTGGACATGTTCTCAACCAAAGCGCTCATTACAGGACGGCGACAAGAGAAGCCTGCAGTCCCGTAGAGCTGCGTGTTGAGCGGGACCAGCGCCGGGGGCGACGGCGTCATGCTCCAGGCAGCTAGCCGAAGTTAGTGAGCGTCTGCGGGCTGTGGAAGTGCTGCTTATCGCTGGTTTTATCTCCGAAAGTTACGGCCGGCTGCTTCACACGGTCCAGGTGGGATATTCTAGCGGGTTCGCAGTGGAGACGGTGTGTTGTGTGCATTTAAACGGTGTGTAGCATCAGTTTAGTGACTCAACGAGTCGATGGCGCTAGCATGCTAGCTTAGCCAACTTCTGAGCAACTTTGGGCAACTTTAAGGGACCGTCGTCAAAGTCGCAGCCGGCCGCAGACGGAGCGCCGTCCGCGGCGCGTCCCGTCCTGCGCCGCTTTAAGTGGAAGGGGGGCCTTGAAACCTCCGTGTTTGTATCCTGTAGTCAGCACCATGTTGAATCAAAGTTGGACCTCCTTCACCGACTCTTGATGACTTTCAGACGTGAAGCTCCAGCGGGACCCGGTTCGGTGCCATGTGTGGAGCGCCCCGGCTGACTTCCCCTTCAGCCTGAGTGGTTTGGGTCGGAACCAGCCTCCAAGTTTGCAGACTGAGCTCAGCCGTCCTGACCGGAGCTGGATGTGATGGACCAGCCGTCCTCCGTGATCACCCAAGTCAGCCGGGATGAGGAGGGCAGCAAGGCGGAGAGGGGTAAGAGTCCGGCCGTTTCTTCCCCGGGGGTAGGAGTTCTGGTAGGTTCTGGCCCGGGGATAAAAGTTCTGATAGGTTCTACCCCGGGGGTAAGAGTTCTGGTAGTTTGTGCCCCGGGGATAAATATTCTGGTAGGTGTCAGAGCTGTGAGCTCCCATCCTGAGCCCACTGGGTCTTCAGCAGACAGAACCAGCTGCAGCAGAACCGTCTCTATAGAGATCACAGCTCTGATCAAACTGCACCGATCATAGTCTCACAAGACAGGAATAAAACCACTACAGAACCACCACAGAAGAACTTTAGAACCACCACAGAACCACCTTGGAACCACCTCGGAACCACTACAGAACCTCTTTAGAACCACCACAGAACCACTACAGAACCACCTTGGAACCACCACGGAACCACCTTGGAACCACTTTAGAACCACCACAGAGCCACTTTAGAACCACCTCAGAACCACTTTAGAACCACTTTAGAACCACCACTTTAGAACTACTTTAGAACCACCACAGAACCACTTTAGAACCACTTTAGAACCACCACTTTAGAACTACTTTAGAACCACCACAGAACCACTTTAGAACCACTACAGAACCACCTTGGAACCACCACGGAACCACTTTAGAACCACCACAGAACCACCACTTTAGAACCACTTTAGAACCACGACAATAATCACCACAGAACCACTACAGAACCGCCACAGAACCACTACAGAACCACCACAGAACCACCACAGAACAACCACAGAACAGCTACAGAACCACCAAAGAACCACTTTAGAACCAACCACAGAAGAACTTTAGAACCAACCACAGAACCACCACAGAACCACCACAGAACCACTTTAGAACCACCACAGAACCACCACAGA